TGAAAACATCAGAGGCCCCTCTAGAGGGCAGAGGAGGAAAGGGAGAGAAGGAGCAGGGAGAATGACGTGGTTTCATTCGATGTGTTTGACAGGAATGGCTGGAAGTGGTGTGGTGCACACTGTGCCCAGCTGGGGAGCTCACGGGGCAGGATGTGTGGCAGCCAGGATGCCAGTTCTGTCCTTGCCATTCAGTGYTCCTGGGGTCAGCAGATGATTCCTGCTCATTGAAAAAGTGCCTTGTGGTTTTCTGGGTGYCCATTTCTGCTGGAGATGGTGAGCTTTGGTTTGCCAGACAGGTGCTGTGGGTTATTTAAAGTCCCTCTTCAGCCACTGGCCCTTGGCCGGGCTGTTCACCCGATGCCCTGGTGCGCTGCAGGAGCCTCCCAGCCCGCAGAAGCTGCTCTAAGAGGCAGCCTTGCCCGCTGTGTCCCCAGGTGATYGGGCCGTGGTGCTGCCTGCCCGGGGCTGCTGTCCCAGCTAACGCGCCTCTCCCATCCCCGGTAGGAAATGGAGTCCAAGGTGTCCGAAGGCGGCCTCAACGTCACCCTGACCATCCGGCTGCTGATGCACGGCAAGGTAAGGGGCACCCACACAGGGGGGGTGTCATCACTGGCCCCCCTGCCACCCCCACACACGCATCCCAGCCCCTGGAATAACCCTGCTGCCCGTGGCCAGGGTGGTGTGGTGCTCTGCTCCCTCTCATACCACAYCCCAGCCCTGTCCTTCTGCTGGGGACAGTGTCCACCACGTCTTTACAATGGGATTGAGGTGGATTCTCATCACAGTTTCTAATGTCAGTTCCCCTGTTTTTGGCTTTTTCCYTCTGCAGGAAGTTGGAAGCATCATTGGGAAGGTAAGGATGGTTTTTAGTGTTTCTCTGACGCTGTTGCCTGCACCTGTGGTGTGGTAGATGCCGTAGTCACCTCTTCCCTGGGATGTTCTGAAAAGCCTGGGGTGCATGAGCCAGTTCTGCATTTGGGAGCCAGAAATGAGGAGAGACCCACAGAAGGGTCAAAGACCATTCCCCTAAAACCCCACCGACCGCCAAACTGTTCCCAGCTGCTTCACTGGGTGACGGCTGTGATTTTACAGTCACATTGCTCTGATGTTTTAATMAAATAGCTTCATTAAAAAATAGTACAAGTGTCACACAGATCCATCCGAATTATATTTTAAAAAGTAATTCTTCAGCCCATGATTCTGAGGCCAGAGGACCCAATTTATTCACCTTGTTCACCTGAATCTTTTGCAGCTTCCCAAGGTGGTTTGGAAAGTCCTGGCTATACAGGACTAGGGGAGTTTTGGGGTGGTTTTAAAATAAAGGTTTTTGGTAGCAAAGATTTGCAACATGAACACGTTTTCCCTRTAGGCTGGTGCCTTATTTTTCCATCAGCCTGTCCAACTCTGTTAAGATTCACGGTTGTGAATCTATATGTGTATATATAYCTATATATCTATATATATTYTTTATTTTATGTATGTATGCGATGATTTACATGCTCAGCTCTTCATCTGACTATCCTGTGGGGATGCAGGGATGGGTATCACTGAGCTCCCATGTTTTTTGGTTGCCGTGTATTGGGGAGATGCATGTTCAGTAGGGTTGTTTTAAAGGTTGAAGCCTTGAATTTTCAGTAATGGCTTGTTTTTCCCTTGTATTTCAGAAAGGAGAGACAGTGAAGAAGATGCGTGAGGAGGTGAGCAGCCTGCTCTGGGAATGATTTGTGGGAGGGAGGGAGTGCAAAGTGTCCAGAGCTGCCCATTGTCCTGTGTGATACATGCAGTAATTCCCAGGGTCAGGACAAGCAAGCCAGCTGTCTCCAGAGCTCTTTGGACCACTTTTCTGCCTTCCCACTCAAAACTCCTGTCACATTTTCCAGCCAAGGACTTGCTCTTAATGAAATGTTGAAATGAAGTCACCTTCAAGGTAGTTTGAGTTTGTGCAGGGTCTTTGTGCCTGCAGCTCCCAGGGAGCAGTGAGCAAAACTCTTCTTTTCACAAGCAGTGACCCCAGAGCTGGTCTTGCCTCGATCCCATGGGCTTCCATTGCAGTAAAACATTGGAAACCATTTCTGAGGGCTGGGATAAGACAGGGATAAAGGGGAATCACTGCAGAGGAGGGCTGGGAGTTTGGAAGGGATGCTGTGAGGCTGGCACAGGGAAAAGACCAGACCCTGTCACTTGGCTGTGGCTATTCCAGGACTCCTTTTCTCTTTCCAGAGCGGGGCAAGGATCAACATCTCGGAGGGAAACTGCCCTGAGCGGATTGTGACCATCACTGGCCCCACCGAYGCCATCTTCAAGGCTTTTGCCATGATTGCCTACAAATTCGAGGAGGTGAGAAATGTGAGCCAGCCCACGACTGGGGCCTGCAGTGCCCGGTTGGATTTGCATAACTGAGACATGACTTCAGCATGGAACATTCCAGTTCTATCTCTGACGAGGGTGGGTCTGGAGCAGAAGTGTGATGGGGAGCAGTGATTCTGTGACCTGTCCCAGAGTCTCACAGTTAATGAACTGAGGGATGCAGGGATGTGCAGCTGCAGGCAGAGCCCAGCCACACCTGGGGCACACGAGCCCTCCTCTGTACCCCAGGGCATAAGGGGTGGCTCTGTCTGGGTACCCAGGGCTGACGTGCTGCACTTTTCCTTCCCAAGGACATCACCAACTCCATGAGCAACAGCACTGCCACCAGCAAACCGCCGGTGACACTGAGGCTGGTGGTGCCAGCGAGCCAGTGCGGCTCCCTGATCGGCAAGGGGGGCTCCAAGATCAAGGAGATCCGAGAGGTGAGGCAGGTTTCATGGCCTTATTGCCCTTCAGTGCAGCTCCTTGGGGCTGATCCGCAGCCGGGGGATGCTGGTGCTGCCCCCGGGATGCTCCAGCTCATCCCATGGGATGCTCTCTCGGGAGCTGGAGCTGGCCCCCAGTGAAGGTGTTCAGCTGTGGGATTTCTCCTTCCTCTCTCCCTTTCTGTCTCCAGTCCACAGGTGCTCAGGTGCAAGTGGCGGGGGACATGCTGCCCAACTCCACGGAGCGGGCGGTGACAATCTCGGGGACACCCGATGCAATTATCCAGTGTGTCAAACAGATCTGTGTGGTGATGCTGGAGGTACAGTCTGTAACAAAGCGGGTAAAGTACATATGGAAAACAATCCCAGCTGGCCCCAGGGGAGCGCTGGGAGCTGTGGAGTGTGTCTCTCTCGTCCCCTTCACCACGCGTTGTCGGAYCACTCTCATTTGTGTCCTGGTACCTCCGTTGGAAATGCACCCCGTGTCTTTTCCCCACCATTGTCCGTTGTTTGCAGAGTCCCACACTGGAAGCCTGTCCAGTCGGGTGCCCCAAAGGAGGTGGTTTGTGGCAGAGCAGAGGGTGGCTCCAGGATGGAGGGGTGCCAGCAGGCCGGGACAGCCCAGCCTGGTGTCCCTGCAGCACCCAGGTGGGAAGGAGACGGGGGCTGCAGCTGCTCCTGCAAGCACCCAGTGTCCCCTGCACAGGGGTCACAGTGCCTCACAAGGACCCACAGCCAGGAGGAGGACGGCACATCCCCTCCCTGGGGGAGCTGGAGCTGGGAGCACAGAGCTGGGGTGCAGTGAGGTGCAGTGGGAATGGTAGTGAGGAAGGCTGGTGGAGAGCAGGGACTGTAGGGTGCATGGACAGATGTCCAAGGTGCCACCTTCTGGCATAAATACTGACCAGCAGAGCTTGAAGATCTCTGCCATGGAGAGAGGCTGCTGTGCCAATGGCTGCTGGAGGTGACCTCAGCCACACACCCCATGTCCAGGAGGAAAGCTCCTAGGACACAGGATGGTGACACGTTYCACTCCTGGCACATCCCAGGGACACACAAAGCAGGGACCGATGTCAGGCCCCTCTGCCCGGCTRCACTGCCCTTTCAAGGCACGGGAAGAGCTTCAAATGGAGATGGCAAGGCTTGGTGAAGATGAAGCGAAGCCGAATGAAAGCCTCTTCAGCTTGGCAGCAGCACATCTCAGGAAGAATAGCCAGGAGCCACATTAGCCATCCCTGCTGTCTGTGATGCTCAGGCAGCTGAAGAATTCCTCTGCTGCCAGAGGAGTTTCAGGCACCCAGTGATTCCAGGTCACGGGCTGCAGCAGAGATGAGCCTGAGGTGATGCTTGCCAGGTGTGTTACAAAGTCTTTCTCACAAAGCAAGATGTGCTGCTCCTCTGGACAGCTCAGCAATGGGAAAGAGAATGAGTCTTCTTGTAGTCTGAAATCTGGGAAGTGCCCTGACTTTGGCAGTTCACAGGGATGTTCCTTATCACCTTTCAGTCTCAAACAGACAATCCTGGCTTATCCCTTTGGAGATTTGTAATGCAATAGAAGAACAAGTAGGTTTGGGATGTTGGAGATGTGCTTTGATCAGCTTTCATGCAGACAGGTGCTAAGCTGGAGAATTTAGATAATGCTTCTTGCCTACAAGTAGATAACCAGAAGAATGTACAGGAAAAGAAAAAAGAATTTTCCATGAGATACTGTAATTTCTAATGCCTGTCCTTTTATAGCAGTCACTGAGTTGTTTAATTTTGGGTAGAAGCAGGAGGAAAGCTGAAATATCTCCTGATCCTTAAAAACCTCCATGTTTCCTGTGGCCTCTAAGTTATGTTCAGGAGAAAACCAGCGGAGAGAACTTGGGGGAGCTGCTCCTGTGCATCATGCCAGCGGATGGATGACTCACTGCAGCCCTGCTCAGACCTACCCAAGGACCCAACAGAGAGCAGCAAGGTCACAGAATCATGGAATYGTGGAATGGTGGGGGTTGGAAGGGACTCAAAGGCCATTTAGTGCACCCCCCTGCCATGTGCAGGGTCACGCTCACAGTGCCTCGCCACACCCACGTCCCAGCTCGGACAGCGATGGAGCGCACCCCTGAAGGTGACCCTGTTCTGGCTGTGAGGAAGATGAGGGCAGCCAAAGAGCTCGAGCATCGTGCCAGCTCGCTCASATGGGCTGTCCCTCCCCATCTGGCTGCTTGAGGCTGTCCTCAGGGCGCTCTGAAGAGGATTCCTGGAGCCTAGAGCAGGCGGTGCGGTTTGCACWGGGCAGAGCCAGGTGAGCCAGGCAGCAGAGCTCCAGGAAGCTGTGCAGGGGCCCRTGCCTTGGCAGGAGATCTCCCGTGGCCCAGGTTGTCCTTGTTGCCCATGAAACACCTCTTTCCCCCGTGTGCTCCTGTCCAGAAACGCGGTGTTGCCTGGTGCGGGTGTTGCTGCCGGCGGCCCCGGGGGCCGTGCTCCGTTAGGTGCTCTCTAACGCTCTTTTTGCCGCCGTTTCAGGAAAGCTGTTCTAATGTTCTCTCTCCCTCTCCTTATCCCTTTTCCTAGTCCCCACCAAAAGGTGCCACCATTCCCTACCGCCCAAAGCCCGCCTCCACCCCTGTCATTTTTGCAGGTGGTCAGGTAAGAGCCGACCCGCTTGCAGCCTCCACTGCCAACCTCAGCCTTTTACTGCAGCACCAGCCGCTGCCCGTTAGTGCACTCAGGTTTCTTGCCTTCTGACTTGCATGGTGTCATCCCATCCGTTGTGTGCCCCGGCAGCTGGACTGAAAGCTCTCGGCTCAGCTCCTGTGATGGATGCTGGAGGATCAGGAGAAGGGAAGGGCCAGCCTGGGGAGGCAGGGTGTCAGCTGTGTCTGGGTGTTGCTCAAAGGAAAGGCTGTGATTTGCTTAGCTGGACCCCAGTTCAGTATTTGTCAGTGGTTGAGAAGGAGAAAATGAGGAAAGCATTATTGAGCCAGAGGCTGCCACTGTTTCCTGGCATCTTTGGCCCCGTTAACAATACCTTTGTGTGGCTGTGATTGATCTGAKGTGGGAAGGGTCTGTCCCAGCTGTTCTGGGGCTGTGCTCAGGGGAAGGGCCGTGTCCCCATCCCTGATGCTCAGCCAGTTTGGGGTGCAGCTTCCCCCTGCAGCAGAGCCTGCAATGTCACCCCTGGTGACACTGCAGCCTTGCAGGCACCATGTGCTATTTCCATCAGCGAGCCTTGGGGTGGATTTTCTTAGGTGGGATAACATCCCACAGGCATGCTGTGGGAATTGGAGGTTATTCTGCAAATGAAAACCAGCAGAAACAAGAGCAGTTAAGCACAGGGCTGTTTCTGAAGAGGGAACTTGCCCCATTGCTTCCTCCACCTCATCTCCTGGCCTCACCTGGTGACCAGGGACCTAGCTGTAGATGGCATCGTGCTGTGGGCCATTAAATCTAGCAGGGGATGTACCTTCCCAAGAGCTCCAGAAGCTGGGTAGAACCAGCACCACAAAGCCACAGYTTGTGCCACCCAGAGCAGCTCCACAAGAGTTATTTCATTTCCCTCCAACCATAATAAATAGAAGGACAAACTGAGCACAGGAGCAAAGCCCAGAGCGCAGGCTATTTCAGGCTGAGTTAGTCATTGCCAGCATCGGGAGTGTGTCACTCCATCTGAGCAGCCGTCCTGGAAAAGAGCTTTGAGCCCAGCTGCCCGGTGGGCCGATCTTCTCAAAAGGGAGAGTGAGATGGAGGCAGCAGTTCTCCTGCTGGGGAAGGGACGGTGTCTTGGACAGAAGTGACAGCAYGGGAAGAGCAGCAGGCTTGAAGTGAGGGCTCTTCCACATCTGGGAGCCCTGTGGCTCTGCCCGAGGGGTGGCATGGGGCGGGTGGCACAGGACAGCTGGTGACAGTGGTGGCAGGTGTTTGGGGTGGGAGGAGCCTCCAGAGCTCAGGCTGAGGGTTGTAGTGGCCAGTGGCAGCTGCCAAAGGGACCGGCCCTCCACGGGCAAGGTCAGAGCTGAGTTGCATCTGTCCAAGACACCTTCCTGCCCTTAATTTGGCTCAATTTTTGTAATCAAAAGCCAATGGCCAAATTGAATCACCAGGACAGGCTACTCTCCAGAGAAGCCTCTGTCACATCCCTGTTGTGCTGGGATACTGGTGGCCACTGGGACAGCCTTTTTCCCTTTTCCTCCCCCATTATTTTGGAGGTTTTCTTCACAGAAAGCACTTTACTGTTTGCAAACAATGTGGCAAATTTGCAGGAAGTTCCAAGGTCTTTTCCTTTCACTTTTCTTGGCAATCTTTACTCTCCCTTTTCAAAAAGTGTTCTCCATCTCTTTTGCCATTTCTTTTGGAATCATCTGAGTAATGTGTCAACCAGTAAGATACATTTTGCTAGCCAGTTATGTCCTGAATATTGGGCTCTCTAATGTCTGGCTCTTCACCCATGTTGGTGCTTATTTTTGGGTTGCTTACAAACAAAAAGAGAAAGGACYGCTACAAAGGATGGGGAAACCCCACAGAATCATTTGCCTGGCAGATGCTTGCATGGATTTATCAATTACAGCTGGTGAAAGGCATCGCAGTGCAGGCAGCCCTCCCCTCGATGCCTTTCCAAGGCCCCAGCAGAGCACTGGAATATGCTGGGTGGATGTGAAGCATCCACCGGGAGCTGTGTGCTTGGGAATCCAGAGAATTCTCTGAATCCTTGGAAATCACGGTGCTAGCTCGCTTTTTGGGATCACTCTGGGGTGTGAAGGGCAGCGGTGATGTCACTGTGCACCTGCTACACGGGCACTTGTGCTTATCAGAGYGTCACAGCATGGTTTGGGTTGGAAGGGACCTTAAAGATCACCCATTTCCAACCTCCCTGCCACTGATCCTTGCTTTTTGTGCAGCAAAGACCAGTGGCAGCCTTATATTCCTGCTCCATGCAATGCTGGCACCCATAACGAGCTGTTTCTGTCCTTCTGAAAAAGCCAAACTGAGCCCAAGCCCCCGAGTCAGGCAGCTCAGCATGCTCTAGGCTGGATGGGAGGTGTGGCATCTCCCTCTTGCCCTGAGGATTTGCTGTCCCAGGCAGTTTAGGGTGGTACAGAGGGTCCCAGCAGAGGGATGGAGCTCTCCCACCGTGTCCTGCCAACCTTGGTAACATCTTTGTTTTTCCTTTACAGGCCTATACAATTCAGGGACAATACGCTATTCCACACCCGGATGTGAGTTTTACCCTCATTTTTCTTACACCCTTTTCTGTCACCTGCATGCTACCGTTAATTCACACAATATTAATATTAGCCAATAATATTAATAGCATATTTTCGAAGTAACTGGCCGTGTGTAGTATCTTAATACCTCGAGTAGCCTTTTAACCTGTTAGCACTAAACTTTATTACTTCTGAGGACTTGGCCTGACGCTAAATTGTTTGCATTGTTCAGTGCTATCCCTTCATTCTGAGAGAAACCATAATCTATGCATTTTGTGCCTCAAAATTATCAAAACAAACAAAAAGAAAAAAGGAAAAAATATTACTTTCCCCTCTATTTTCCCCTTGTCCTTAAAATGTTGGTGAGCCAAGGGCATATTTAGCTGCTGGGTGCCTTGKTGGGGTGGGAAGAAGCCAGAGCTTCTTCTTCAGGGGGTTTTGTGCTTGAAGCCCGGGCAGGGAATGTGTCTTTCTGAGGGAGTGCTSCTTTGGAAATTGGGCAGAATTCCCCCACAGAGGAATGGAGAGGCTCTGTGCTGCTGCATCCCATCCTGCCAAGGACTCCAGAGTGACGTGGGCACCCCGGCTTTGGTGGCTCTCACTGCTGTCTCACTGTCACCCTCAGAGTGGGGACAGCCCCCATCAGCCTCRGGCTCCCAGGGGCAGAGCCAGGAGCTGCTCTGAGCTGCTCTGAGTGGGCTTTGCTGCTGCTGGGATCCCCTGGATGCCATGCAGGGCAGGGGAAGGACACGTAGGTATCATCAGTGGGAGCGTGTGTGCCTACAGTTACCCATGGAAACAGGAAATCAGTCTCTTGGAAGGATTTCCTTGAGGAAAGCAGTGAAGCACCATCATGCCAGCAGCTCAGCTCTGGTCATGGCTTTTGGAGAGAGCAGTGACTTTCTGGATGTGTGTCCAAGGGGATGAAACACCCATCGAGTTCCACTGTGGAGGGTCCCTCCTGCTGCGAGTCAGGGCTCTGCAGTGGGGCTGAGAATGTGGCAGAGCATGGAAAGCCTTCTCCAGCCACCCCACCATGCAGCTCAGCATTCCCCTTTCCAGTGGGTGCACTGCGTATTAAAAAACAGAATTAACTTTTTCTGTCATTGAGAAGGTGGCAAAGGCTGTTTGGTACCACAAAGGCCTGCTCCTTTTGGGATCTTTTGGGAGCTGTAGGCTGGATTTTCATCCTAGGAGAAGTGGTTCCACTGGAATTAGAGGAATCCAGGCTTTGGCTTTCCATGTGACACCCAGGATGTGTGTATTCTGAATAGTCTGCTGTGATGGTTGATAAGAAATATTCCTAATTATGTACTCTTTGCTTTTGCTCCATAAGCAGAATATACTAAATAACCTGTGTATTTAGGGTAGATCTTTGTGCAGTCTTCATCCCAGTTTTTCTCTGCAAGTTGTGCCAACAGCTTAGTGTTTTCCTCATCCCTGTATTCCTCTGATCATCAGGATTAAAATACTTTTAATATATATATAGTATTATAAAACATTTTGCTGGCTGCACTCTGTCCCACTCCCAGCAGATTTCAGGGGGCCACTCACTCCATCCTTACTGTCAGGGTGTTCTTACAATGCTTGGTCATTTCAAACCATGTTCAGTGCAGAATCCAGTGTAGAATGTGGTTTTAGGGTATTTTAAATGTGTTTTAGGCATCTGTGTTTAGTGGCTGCCTTTTGTCAAGCGGGCAAGATTCTGAATGCCCCATGTGCGCTCCTGCCTTGATTTTCTCCCCTGGAGAAACAGYCCAGGAAGGGAAGCTCTGGCTCAGGAAGGGCTGCAGCACTGCCCAGGGCTTTGCAGGCTCTTTGGGATGTGCTGTGTCRCTGCCTGCCTTCCCCAGAGCTGCGGGATCATGGATTCACTGARTGSTTTGGGTTGGAAGGGCCCTTTAAACTCATCTCACTGTCCCCCCTGCCACAGGCAGGGACACTTTCCACTACCCCAATGTCCAGCCTGGCCTTGGGCACTGCCAGRGAYCCAGGGGCAGCCACAGCTTCCCTGGGCACCCTGTGCCAGGGCCTGCCCACCCTCCCAGGGAACAATTTCTCCCCAATATCCCATCCTTCCCTGCCCTCTGTCAGTGTGAAACYATTCCCCCTTGTCCTGTCGCTCCAGGCCCTTGTCCCAAGTCCCTCTCCAGCTCTCCTGGAGCCCCTTCAGCCCCTTGGAGCATCTCCGTGGCCTCCTCTGGACTCGCTCCAACAGATCCATGTCCCTCCTGTGCTGGAGACCCCAGAGCTGGATGCAGTACCTCAGGTACAGTCTGACCAGAGCAGAGGGGGAGGATCCCCTGCCTCCACCATGGAAGATGAGCTGCAAGAGATGGACATAGCAGCTTTTTCTGTGACACCTGGCTGCAGCCATCTTCTCCTCCCATAGGCTTGTTTATTGCTCTAATTACAGGGCTGGCTAAATTCCACCATCCAGACTGTGTCTGGAAGGTCTCCTGGGTCAGTATTAGAATGGATTTTGGTGTTCCCTCAGTGGGGGAAAGCAGGACGCTGTCCCAGGGCACGGTTGGAGCCCCCGGGGCAAAGAAGTTTCATCTGGGACCAGGTGTCATGAGGAATTCCAGAGGCAGGGTGCAGCTGTAGGAAACAGAACAGTTCTGAAGAGACAAAGCAGTGGGTGCTGATGTCCCTGCTCCCTGCAGGAGCAGTGCCATGCCCAGTCTCACCTGGACACGGCTGTGTTTTGGCAGGAGCCCATCGTGTCACACCTTTGGCTAAAATGAGCCAAAGATGGATGAAGTAAGCACAGAGAGATGTRCAGGCRCCTCTTTTTGTGGAGWGGTGACACCTGTCCCCTGAGCCAGYGYGGGCTGGATGTCCTCATGYCTCTGCAGCCGGGACAGGGATCCCRGGCTGCCTGTCCAGGGATTTGCTGGTGTTTCACCCCTTCCTGCTCTTCCCAGCATTTCCCCCTCACCGCTGCCAGCCGGACCTCCCTGCTCTCCCTCCCAGCCCTGCTGCAGCAGCAAGGAGGTGTTTGAGTCTTGTTGTCCCGRAAACATTGGAATTACGACTCCCTCCTCCCCATTGCTGGGGATGATGGGCAAAACAAGCAGTGTGAGTTTGGGGGATGATGTAACTCCCTGAGCACCTGTGAAAGATGAAGAGCCTCCCTCCTGCTCACTGCGAGGCTTCAGCCTGATTTGGTTTGTTTTCTTTTCTTTTACTGTCTTTTTAGTTTTTTTGGTTTGTTTGGTTGTTTTTATTTTCTAATTTGGAGCTAAAAAAGCGAGCACAAAATGTATTCCAAACAAACAAACTCTATAAAACAACCACTTCCTGACCGGGCACCAAACCTGCCYGGCACAACAAGGGATGGAAGGATCTGAAATACCTACTGGTCATGGCTGAAGCCCATAATTGTCATGTTCCTAACGAGCTGCCATTGAGAAATGCAGTTTATCCGTGTCCTGGAGGCACGCTGGTCAGGGGCACAGCACAGGAGCGTGTGCTGCGGGGGCACACGGTGCCAATGAGCCTCTGGTGGCATAGAGAGSGTCCCTGGGTGCTGGTTGTGATGCCACCAGCTGGCCCTGCACAAGGCAGAGGAGTTGAGCTAAGAATGGGCTTCTCACTGGTACCGTACTTCAGACCCTGACCAAGCACTTCTGCCAAAGATTTGGGCTTTATTGCACTAAACCCAGGCCAAGTCCTTTCTGCTAATGTTTTTGCCATGTCTCACCATGGCTTCCTGTTTTGTTTTTTTTTTWAATTTTATTTTTATCTTTCAGTTTGTTTTCTTTCTTTTTTTTTTCTCCCCCTCTCCYGTTATAATTTCGTTCTTGCTTTTTCGGTGTGACTTGTACTCTATGACAATAACCTTCTTAGCTCTAATGTCCCTCCTACCCCTCAGCAGTTGACCAAGCTCCACCAGTTGGCTATGCAGCAAACCCCCTTTACTCCCCTTGGACAGACCACCCCCGCTTTCCCTGGTACGTACCCACACGCCCTTTCAAGATATCCTTCTCTTACCTGTAGAGTTTCTCTCTCTTTCTAAACTCTTGCTGTTTAATGGAAATGAGCAGGGCGAGTAAAAAGTCACAGTATCTGTGGGGAGAGGCTAACGAGCAGCTCAGTGGAGGATGTTTTGGGGGTTGCCRTCCTCAGGGGCGAGCTCTCAGCCTGGGCTCGCTGGCAGCTTTGCTCAGAAGCCATGAGCACCRTCCCTCCCTCCGTCCATGGAAGGGGCAGCGTCCCCGGCCCCGCGCCGCTCCGGACCCCGCGTGTTCTKGGGCCGGCCGTGGGCGCTGCCTCGGGGAGCGGTGCCGAGCCAGGCAGGACAGCTCCCGCACTGGGAAGGAGTCGTGGCCAGAAGGGGCTGTGCTGATGGCAGGACAGCCAGCCCCGGCGTGGCCCGAGCCTTGTCCCCAAGGCTGGCGTGTTCCCAGTGACCTGATAAGCAGATAGAGCACAGGGGATGGAGATGCTTAAAGTTGGAAATTACTTTTCTGACAGTATGTTCATCATATTTTGAGCTTCCTAGATGAAGTGACATTGCTTATCTCCTCGAAGGCAAAAGCATTAAACCTGTTTCTTCTTTGCTCTTCAGGAGAAAAGCTGCCCTTACATTCCTCCGAAGAAGCTCAAAATCTGATGGGCCAGTCATCAGGTAAAACACAAAGCTGGAGGGAAGTCAGCAGGCTTTGGCTGAAATATATCCCGTAAATAGGACTGTGCCATTGTTGTGCTCCACGAGAGGAGTCGTGGYGTTCATGGAGGAGCCAGCAGGTTTTCTTGGTGGGCAGGAGAGATCGGGCAGCACCRTTCTCCTGTCAAAGGAAAAGCACCTGGGCTTTACTGCCTGGGGTTGTGATGTTTGTGTGTGACTGCCACGGAGGCACAGAATGTCCTGAACTGGAAGGGACCCACAGGGATCATCCAGTGCCACCCCAGGCCCTGCCCAGATCCCCCAACAATCCCACCCTGGCAGCGCTGTCCAAACGCTCCTGGAGCTCTGGGGCTGTGCCCATTCCCTGGGGAGCCTGGGCAGTGCCAGCACCCTCTGGGAACAAAAGAACCTTTCCCTGCTCTCCAGCCTGACCCTGCCCTGGCACAGCTCCATGCTGTTGCCTCGGGTGCTGTCCCTGGTCACAGGGAGCAGAGATCTRTGCTGCCCCTCAGGTGTGATGAGCTCTCCCTCAGTGCTGTCTGGGTAACAGAGTCATTGCCCTTATTCTTGCATTTAATTTTGCATAAACTTTGCTCAGAAACAACAGAAAAATGCCAATGGGGCAGCCATGCCATGCAGCTCCAGCCATCTCCGAGCCATTCATGGTGAGTTTTGATTTTAGTGGGACAGGGCCCTGAGGAGGCAAAGCGTGGCTGCAGCCTTGGAGAAGCTTTGCTGTCAGATGCCCCACATTCATCCGTACGTGCGGAACGCATCTGTCTTTTGTTTCCCACCATTGCACAGAGAAATTATCCCCAGACCTGGAGGCACRCAGGCAGTGTGAACCAGACCTGGGGCACTCGGCCATCCCACGTGTGCCTCAAAGGYTTGGGGACATCACCTAACTGTGAAATCAAGTGTAGCCCAAATAGACACACCACAGGATTGCAGGAATGCAGATTTCATTACAGCGACCTGTGCAGCCATGATCTCTGCATGTCCCCTGTGCCCTTGGTGGCCACCCAGAGCACCTGACACCCTCTCTACAGTCTCGGGGACTGTTTGTCATATCAGGGAGTGCTAAAATGTCTCTAGGTAGTGGGGGAGGATGTGGCCATTCCTGGAAGGCTGTGAGGGATGATGCAGTATCATGGCACCAGCTATCCCAAGGGCTTTCAGCAGCATCCATGTCATCAGAGTGTGGGATGGTGGATGTAACCTATCTGTGGAGCTTGACTTGTATTYCCAAAGATCCCTGGATGCCTCAGCRCTGAGCTGAGCCTTGTAASACATGGCCAAGGGACAGGGCCACCCTTGCCCAGTCCACCTTGCCCCAGACTGAGGAGGCTCAGCGTGCAAAGCACAGGGTGTGTGCTGTAAAGCCAGCACTGAGCATTGCCTGTGGTGTGATAGCTGGGCAGGAGCTGTTGTGTGCAGGTTTTGGCATCAGTTCCCCTGGMAGGGCTGATGGACAGCAGAGGGCTGCCTGCTGGAGGATCTGCAACACTATTGCCTGCATTTCCTCTCCTCTCTCTGCTCCCAAATGAAAAATCTSGTGAGGAGACCTCTTGCAGGCAAATGTTGTTCAGGAAAGCACAGGGATCACRGAGTCACAGAATCATGGAATGGTTCAGGTTGGAAGGGACCTTAGAGCCCATCGAGTCCCACCCCTGCCACGAGGCCAGATTGCTCTAAACCCCATCCAGCCTGACCYTGGACACTTCCAGGGATCCAGGGACAGCCCCAGCTGTGCCAGGGCTTCCCCACCTTTATTTCCCCACATCCTAAGATCATGCATGAGCACATCAGAGATTCCCAGAGCTGCTGTCCCTCAGTGCTGAGGCCCTCCATGGAAATACATGAGGAATTCGGTGCTGCTGTCTTGTGTTGCAGGAGCCCTGCACTTCCAGCCTCCTTGTGCTTCTTCATTCTGCACATCCTTATCCCCCTCTTTCCACAGATACAGACCTGGCAGTCTCCCGTGCTCTTAAAAGCCTTCAGCAGTGGTTTATAAGGATCAGAGGATATTTTTTCCAGTTACTGCAAATTCCTTACAGCCACCAGACAGTTCTTTCTTGCAGATTTGACATAGGACGTCCCCGCTTCGGCGCTGAGGTGATTTAATGTGGAAAACCGTGGCAGARGCAGGCTTTGACCTGGGAGCACTGCAGCATGGTATCCTCTCACCTCTGCAGCTGCACACTCAGGGTCCTGCTGGCTCCAGCCGCTCCCACCATGGAGGAGAGAGCTCTCCCTGATCCAGGAGAGGCTGGGGGGGAGCACACCGCTGCCTTCGCTCCTCRCCATGGAATTCTGCAGGGAAGCAGGATCTAAATCTCCATACTGCTCATCCTGCTTTCCCTTGTAGTAAGAGGGACAGCTGGTCCTGGGACCAGCTGGGTTGCATGTCTTAGCAGTCTGGCTTAAATTCAGCATGAGAGTCTGTGGGGCTTTAACTTGTGAAGGACTTGTGCTGCCGGATCCCCTGGGGACACCGGTTTTGGGGCACCGAGCTGCCTTTACACCCCAGCAGCTCAATGCTGCTGCATCCAGAGAGGGCTGGAGGGTGCAGGGACAGCATTCCCGCTGGGCTGGTGGGTGTCCCAGCCAGCATGTGTTTTGCTGGCRTGTGGGAATGTTTTACCCACCTCTCTTTGGTGATGCTGGAGCCTTGCACCCTCCTCTGGGAGGATGTGGGGTGGGAAGCGAGGCACTCATGGGGTGCAGGGAAGGTGACACCCAGCTCCAGCAGAGTCAGGTAGCAACCATCTTCCTCCTCCTTGTCCCGGAGTGTGTGATCCCCTCCCCTCCCAGCCYGGAGCAGGACGCAGCCTTGGCAGCGCTGCAGGAAAGCAGCGGAGCTCAGTCGCGGCGCCCCTGCCAGCTCTAACCRTGTTCCCTTGCATCTGCCCAGGTTTGGATGCCAGTCCCCCGGCCAGTACTCATGAACTCACCATTCCCAATGATGTAAGTACATCCAAATGCTTCCTTGGCATGTCTGTGYGTGYGGGTGTGTGTGCACATGGATGTTTATGTATAATCTGTAAGCTGCAGCCATATGGCTTTGTTAAATATCCTTTGAAGTGCCCCTTCCCCATGTTCCCTCATCCTTGTGCACTCCACTGGGGGTCAGCCTGTGGCACAAGGTGCCCCTCGGACTTCACCCCGTCGGGAGCTTCCCTAGGTCCACTCCTTCCAAGTGAACTCGGTGCTCATGAAACATGCCCAGTTGACAGCACTGGGAAAGGGAGAGAACTCCCATGCCAGCCCTGATTAAACTCTTAGTTGCTTAATCAGGCAGTGGCAGGTCTCAGATGATGTTCCAGCTCAAGGGTAGTGACTGGGTGGGGGGTGAAGAGGAGGTAAGTAAATGACATTGCTGATGCCACAAAGTGCCACACGCGTGTCTGAAAGATGGTGCGTCTCAGTACTGCTGGCAGGCAGCRTAGGGGTCTTAGGGACGGAAGGGTTGTGGTGAAGTGGGTGTTGGACTGGGATGTTTGCTGGGAGGAGGCTGGAGCTGTGCTGGGCAGGGCTGCTCAGCGGGGAGGAGGTGGGGTGGACACAGCCAGCACCAGGATCCACATGTCTCGCTTGGCTTCCGGACTGCTTTCTGTGCACCACGGCCCAGTCTGTGCTCAAATCAGGATGAGGTGAGCAGGGGAATGGCATCCAGCCTCTGTCCCCATCASTGACAAGCACCTGCAGCCCATCCTCATCAGGAGTGTCTGGGTGGGCTCCAGCAGTGCCAGGGAAGGGCAGTGAGCCTGGCTGCGGCTGCCGGACACCTCTGCTGAGACCTCYGTCCCCCGAGAGATGTGGGAGTGCAGGAGCCCCGAGCATCTGCCRGCTGAAAGCTTTGGAGGTGCTTCACATGGGGCAAATCACCAGGGGAGGGGTCTGCAGAGGAGCCAGGGGGAGACTGACCCCAGCCTGCTCCTGTCCAGCAAGGATCTTTCACTGGGAGGCTTCAGGGAGCTCTGCAAGCGCTCCTGAGCTTCCAAAACTGCATCTGCTGAGCATGGAGGACCACAGCAACAAAGACTCTTCAGAAATACAAAGAGACCCCTTGCAAAAGGACTCACATGGGAATAAAGGATGTCAGGAGACTTCTGAGAACCCAGGAGCACTTGGAGCATTCACTCACCAGAGACCCAGCTCTCACCTGACCTGGGAGGCATTCAATGTCATCGCCTGCATCTTGAAAAACTCCTCCTTAGCTCTCTCCACTCTTGTTTCAAAGGCTTTTAAACACCCACTGCCACCCTTCTCAGGAAGCAGAGGACAGGTTTGGGTTTCTTTGAGAGTCACCAAGCATGTTTCAATGTGAAGGAAATCTGATGAAAACCATCTTGCCAYTCCTCTGACAGTCAGGAGAAACTTGAATGTGGTTCAGCTTGGGTGTAGCTGAGCATCTGCCTAAAGTTTTGTTCCTCAGGTCTCCCCAGCAGATTTTCATTTGCTGAAGCATCTCAGAGTTACTCCTGTGCTGTGAAGACCTGGAAGGGCTGAASACCCCACCACAGGCCCTGAGACAGTGGAAAATACCCTTCCAGTGTGCATTCAGGTCTGTTTGGGACAAACCACCTTGGCAGCCCCCTGGCCTGACCAAAGGATCAGTGAATATTGGGAGGAGCAATCGTCTTTACTTCTACCGTGGCAGAAATCCATCAGCTGCCGAGATGGACGTCCCATGTATAAAATGCCCTTGGAAAAGATGGCYGGAAAGGGCATGGAGAGCGCCTCATGCCTGTGTTGGTTGAGCTGGATGTCTCTGTGTCACTGAGCTCTGGAGATGCCTTAAAGGGAAAAGTGCAAGTGAGCAAAGACCATTGAGGAAATTCAAGCCACTGAGGACCACTGAGGAAATCCAAGGGCTGGACAGTTAAGGAAATTCAAACCTCCAGCTGGCTCTGATTTTTTCACAAGACTGTGAAAGAGGTGTTTTAGGTAGGGTCCACCTTTCCCTGTTTATGCCACAGCCACGTGGTGCTCTCCTGGGCACGCTGGTGAGCCACTGGATTGCACCAAAGGAGTTAGAGGGCCTTACAGAGGCAGTGGGATAGATGAAATGAGGGYTGGGGTCACTGCACCAGCTGAGGAAGGGGCTCCTGGGGTTGGCCGGTCCCCAGGTAAGGCAGCAGGCTTGTTTCCTTCCAGTGACACATCCAAACCACCTTGGGTTTGCTGTGACCGGCAAGGGGTTAAGTATTTGCAGAACATTGGCCGTTCATTAGAACATGCAAATTATTATTATTAGTGAAATGAGCCCTCCTTGAAGCCCTCCAGGGTGCTGAGCACCACGTGCAGATCATGGAGACTTTCCCCCCGAGGAGCAGAGCAGGGCAGGTCGCTGGATGTGTCCTTGGAGGACAGTGCTCGAGCACAGGTGGGATTCCCCCGGGCTGTCCCTGTCCTGTTTTCATGAGCATTAAGGTCACTGTGGTCCCAGGTGTGCTCGTGTCCTGCCGGCGACCGCCAGAGCTGCCGCCTCTCAGACGTTCCCTCCGTGCTTTCTTTCCTAGCTAATAGGCTGCATAATCGGACGCCAAGGGACCAAAATCAATGAAATTCGGCAGATGTCGGGAGCGCAGATCAAAATCGCCAACGCCACRGAAGGGTCATCGGAGCGCCAAATTACCATCACAGGAACCCCTGCAAACATCAGCCTTGCGCAGTACCTCATCAACGCCAGGTGAGACCCTCCGCCGCCTCCCGAGCCGCCCGCCCGTCCCGCCGGGAGCAGCCCGCGCTGCAGGCACCATGGGCCAGCGGGGGCTGCCCGAGGCCGGCTGGGACGGACGGTGTCCTGCTGAGAGCTCTGAGCGGGGACAGACGCCGCCGGCAGGACATCTCCCCCGGCTGGCGCTTCGGCCGGGCCCGGGAGCGGCCGCGGGACGCGCCGGGCGCCCGCCCATCCTCGCTCAAGGATTTTGCTGGCGGGTGGGCAAAGTTGCCGCCGTCTTTGCCTGTGGATGAGGCAGGGGACGGGGACAGGAGCAGAGCCGAGCCGGTGGCAGGGAGGCATCACTTGGGACCTGCTTGCTGGGATCCCAGCGTCRCTTACTGCCTCTTCCACGCGCTTCCAGGCCTCCCAAAAGCTGTCCTGCACTCAGTGAAAATAACCGGTCCAATAAACGCAAGACACGGGAACGGCCTGACTGCTTCCTTTTCACCATGAAAAGCTTGGCACTGCAGGACTTGGCAGGGGCCGAGGGTTCCTGGCTGGGGGCGGACGCAGCCCGTGCCCTGGGGACCGGCAAGGGACGGCGAGGGGAGGCGTAGCTGGAGACATGAGCTGGGGGACCCGAGCTGTGTCCGGGCTGCTCGCTCAGCCCCGTTTGCCGTGGACTCGTGGATAGCGAGCTTGAGGGGATACAGGACCTTTCCGGTAGCTTTGCACCCGCCTGGCAGAGCCACCGCAGCCCGGGCAGGAGCGATGCCGTGCCGACCCGCCGCCGGCCCCGATGCGCCCGGGAGGAAGGCTGCAGGCAGGGCCCCGAGGACGGGGGGCTGCCGGCGGCGACTGATGCTTGTTGGGGTGTGGGCTGGGAGCACCGCTGAGGTCTGTATGTGCTTTCTGCTCCTTGCACCCAACCCTCCCGAGCCCCGATCCGCAGCGGACCCCCGCCATCCCCTCCCGCCCCGCTACCCCGCTGCCCATGCCCGCGGCATCTCTCCACCCGCTCGGGTGAGGGACGGGCATGGCTGAGCGGCTTCCCCGCAGACCCTTGCCAATCCCGCCCCCCACTTCCCTAGACGAGAGAGAGAAAGAAAAGAAAAAGAAGCGGCTCTTCGTTGCTGGGAAGGGCTGGCCGAGCTGCCCCCCCGTGTGGAGGTGCCCTGGCAGGGGGGCAGGATGGGGCTCAGCCTCTCCCGTAGTTTCCAAACCAGAGCAAAACGAAGCAGCCGGGGGAGCTGGCACAGCTGCCCGTCCCCCGTGGGAGGGATGCTGCTGGAAGAGAAGTCGTGCTCCGGGGTGACTCCTGCCAGCAGCTCTGGTGGGTGACATCCCTGCCACGACACRCGGTGACAGCAAAGGGCACCACCTTACGCTGGCTCTGTGCTGCAGCCCCCCGCCCGTGCCTTCCACAGGAGACCCCCCAGGCCACCCGGTGGTGCTCTGTCCACCTCGTGGGCGAGAGGAGGAGCGCTGCCCCTCAGGGTCTTCGTTTTCTTTTCTGCTCTGGTAATTAAGCGCTTGTTTTTTGTCTCCCCCCCACCCCTCTCTCTGCCCCTGTCTATTCTAGGCTGACGTCTGAGGTCACTGGAATGGGCGCACTCTAATTTCCACCCACCATCCTCCACTCCGCACCACCCGACCCTCTCCAGCCACCGGCACTCCACCCAGCCTGTACTGCCTGTACTTTTACCGTCTTCCCTTTGCCTCCACAGATACTCTTTTCTTTACTGACGGATATATAGATATATATATACGAACACACACGGGCATATGCACACACTGGAACGTTTCTTTACGAGCTCTTTAATCTGTGCTCCCGAGGCTGCTCCCAAGCTCTTTGGTTATGGTCCTTGTTTTCAGCGTTACGGTGTTAATTCTTCATCTGCTTTTTGGGGACGAGGGAGGGGGGAGGGGGGCGCCGGTTTTTTTCTCTCACTGGCGAGACTCCAGGCGCTGACGGGGTCTCTAGTGTCAGTCTAGCGTAGCTACCTACACGTTTGAGTTGACCTTGGCGGTACTTTCTGTAGCCTATGGACATGCGTGATGCCACCCAGAGCTGTGCGTGCTTCAAATGACTCAACTTCTCTCACCCTCCTCCCTTTGGTGCTCCCTCTCGCTTGTCCTGGCTCACCTTTGCCACCTCACGCCCCCGCCCTCGGGGTAAGGGTGTGGTTTCCACCCCCTGTTATTTGGGAAGGGTCCACCCGCAGGGCTTCTTTCTTGGAACATGGCACGGTCCAGACAAGCCCTTTCCCTTCTGAACTAAAGGAACTACACACACACACACACACACACACACACACACACACACACACACACAAATGCTCCTTTTTCTTAAACTAACGAGCACCTGGAAATGGGCAGAACTCAGCTCTATGGGATTCACACCCCCAGGGGCCTTTGCAAGCACTCTTTTGGCAATCCCCATGAGCAAACCCTTTGGACGATAGCTCAGGAAGCTCTGTGAGCCGGCTGTGTTTGTCGTTGTTTGTGTTCAATAAATGTCTGTGCAGCTCTGGTACYGATGGGCTCCGACTGTTTTTCTCCTGGGTTGCCCCGACAATTCTGGCCCCGTCCTTCCCTGTGCATCCTTCCACACCTTTTTAGCTGCTTGGAGGGAAGGTGGGGGTTGCATGCAAGAGTTCTTCATTTCCATTTTTATTTTTATTATTATTATTACTATTATTAATTATTATTGTTATTGTTATTATTTATCATCACCCTCATCATTTTTTTAAATTTCTTTTTTTTTTAGAGAAGGTCCCCACAAGCAATGCGCTTCCTGAGTAACTCCATGCTTTGTTTGTTTGTTTGTTGTTTTTTTTTTTTTTTTCCAAAGAAAGAGTATTTGGCTTGCATAATCCTTTGGTTTTCCCTAAGATTAATTTATAAGTTACAGTGTGACAACCAGCATCTCTCACTGCCCCTTGTCTGGACGGATCTGCCATGTCTTTGCCCCACACCCTTCCCCAAGACCCTCTCTGCCCAGCCCTGCCTTCTACTTCCAGGCTTTTCTTCTCTCTCCTGCCTCTCAAACAGGGAAACGCCTGTTTTCTGTCTGTTGATCCCTGACTGTCCCTTTTCCCAGACTGCAATGAGGGGACCATGTCCCACCATGTCCCCACAGAGCTGAAGCAGCYGCACAGTACATTTTGCATTGTACCCCGAGGGAAATACGTTGGGAAGGGGAATACTTTGGGAAGGGAAATACTTTGTTTTTGCAGGTAAGCCCCAAGGCTTGGTGGCCTTTCCCTCWGTTCCACCCTCAGTTCTGGCAGGCACTGCTGGCAGCTCCCACTCTGCTCGTGCCGGGATGCCGGACCCCTTCTCCTCCTGTGTCCAGCACCACCTGCTCAGTGCTCACACAGGGCTGTGTCGGGATCCCACTGCACCCTGGGGGCAGGGGTCGTGGGCTCCAGCAGGGAGCTGGCAGGGAGGAGAGMGGGGCCCAGGAGCCCGGGAAGGTGAAGGTGGTGCCGCTGAGCAGTGGGGTTTGCTCAGCCCAGGTGTCCCCAAACCTGTGCACACTCAGCTCTCCGGAGTTCCACCTCTGTGCTGAAAAGTGCTCCCACATCCTCCCTAGGGTGCTTTGCTTCTGTCTTCAGCCTCTTGCTCTGCTCTCCCTGGCTCTTTGGGTTCAGCTGTGCCTTTTGGATGGCCCAGCAGCCACAAAGGCTGAGGGCATCCCCTGATGCCCCGTCCAGAACAGCACAGGTGCTGTGGGGAATGCTGAGGGGTTCAGGTGGAGCTGTAGCCTCTGCTGGCACTCGCCCTCTGTGTTCGTGCCAATTTTCCAAYACTGAGGATGGAGGGAGGCACAAAGTGGGGCTCCTCCAGCTGCCAAGTGGCCAGCACAGGCACGGAGCCACCTGCCAAGGYGGTGAGCCAGCTGTGGGCAGCGGGCACTGCTCATCTTCTCCTGTTCCTCACTCTGCTGCAGAACAAGGGCTTTTCCTGTTGGAAGAATGAAAGCTCTGTGTGAGAGCCAGCGTGACAATAGCCCCCCTGGCAGCCTGGGGGTGAGCCATGGCAAAAGCTCCCCATGCCACTGCCTCCACCCTCCACAGCAGCCCGGGCTGCTGCCCCCTCACAGAGGGACGGTGCACGGAGGGAGCCAGCCCGTCCTGCCGCTCTCTGCTCCTGCCTGAGGCTCCAGGACAAGCTGGAGCACGAGGAGAGCTTCTTCACGAGCTGATGGAGGCACAGCAGCAGCAGAATCACGATGACCGAGACTGGGAAATCCATGCCAGGCCAGTGGGGTTTGTGCATGTGGGGAAGGCAGGGGAGCAGGACAGCACCCTGAGCACGGGGCCCGCGGTGCCTGCGCTTCACCGCTGCCCTGAGCTGCTCTGCGCTCTGCCCGTGCCCTTCYGCAGCTCCACTGAGACAGCGCTGCCCGAAATAGAAAATGCCAGATCGGCTCTGCCAGATGCAGCGGAGCTCAGAKGCTGCAGAGAGGGGGAGCAGACTGCAGCAGACCTCAGCACCCATCCCCACGCCGGCAAACCCACGGATATCAACCCACTCTGGGCGCCAGCCCCAGCCCAGCCRCTCCCAGGCTGCAGAAAAGGCACCCCAGSAATCGGTGGGGAAGGAGGAGAGGCTGATGTTGCTCTGGCACCCTGCGGGTGTCTGAGGCGTCGTGTCAGACTCGTGCTGCCACAAGGATCTGTGCTCGTGGAGACACCAGGGAATGCTGGATGTGGCCACAGGGGCAATCCAAGCAGCAGCAGCCACCTTGGCCACCTCCCGGGAGTTCTGTACAGTCACAGAATCRCAGAACATCCTCAGCTCAAGGGATCCACAAGGATCATCGAGTCCAGCTCACAGGATGCCACAAAGCAACCCTCCTTCAGGCACTCCCTTTGACTTTGCAGCTCTTCCTTGGGGGTCAAATTGCCAAGGGTCTTCTGCAAATTAAAAAAAAAAAAAAAAAGAAAGGATGAAACCGCAGTGTTATGTGGGAATCAGCTTATGCATCATCATCTGGGCCTGAGTGAGGTTTGGAGGAAGAGGTGTTGAAAGCATGGCCGCATCTCCTGGGAGCATGCTGATGGCAGCAAGGATAACAACAAAATCGCAAGGAATGTATCAGACTCAGCTTTGATTTCTTTGGGATGGCTCAAAAGGAGATTTGCTGTTTTCTTTGGAAAGAGCTTCAGTGTTTTGCTTTGATTTGTGATAGGTCTTGGGTTTCCATTTTGGATGAACTTAAAATACTGTGGTGGTGCATCCACAGCCTTACCACTGGGAAAAATCTCTGATGTTGGGGTAAATATTTAATACAAGGTGAATGGTCCAGCTGATCAACAGAATAGCTTTAATACATTGCTTTTTTTTTCTCCCAAAACAATGCATGTTATCCAGCCAGAGCAATTCAATATTTTTGGAAGCACCAACTCGGTCAAACTCTTGGGGAATGAGTTATTTAGGGAGAAATTTTGGCTCTGGCTGAAAAGTATTGGTCCATTGCCTCTCCCTGCCCTGGAGTGTGGGAGTCTCCATCAGAGAGGGACTGGTTGAGGTCTGTGCCCTCAGCTGAAGGTCTCCAATCCCCCTGCATACCCTTGCCATGCTCCCAAAACTGTTTGGAGTATTGTTTTTGTGCTTTTTTTCCCTCCTGGATTGYATTTGCAAATCTAGTACAAAACAAGGCAGACAAAATAGACCRTTTCCCCTGAGGGAAAGTGACTTTCACCGGGGAGACTCTTTAAATTTCATCCTCTCTTTGAGCTGTTATTCCGGGTTTTGTTATGCATCCATGCTAGTCACTTTTAATTATGCTAATTCCCGGCTTATGCTCCATTAGCAAGGGTAATTTCCTGCCTCCGCTGCCGGCAGAGGTAGAGYTTCTGGGGGATCTCTGCGTGGTGTGGCAGGGATGAATGCTTAACCCCGTTTCCTCCTCGGCCACAGGGAAGGAAGGCATCGCCCCCAGCCCCGCCTGGTGGGGCAGTAGCCGGTCCCCAGCGCCTCTGGCCGGTCACTAGATGTCCCCATTGCCCAGCTTTTCCCSCTCCCTGCTCCCGCCGGGATGCGAGCAGCCCCGGGATGCCTCCAGCCGCTGCTCTGTCCCTCGCTGCTGGGAAGGKAATGCGTGTCTGTGTTTCTCTGCGTGTCCCCGACACTGCTGACGGTGACACCCAGCGAGCGGGTGACTGGCACCGYGTCCCTCCCATCGCTGCTGGGACCCCCGTGGAGCGACCCCAGCCCACACGGGCAAGGATGTGCGGCCACGGTGGCCCAAGCCCACCGGGGCTGGCAGAAGGACAAGGTTTGGCTGGGAAGGTCCCGAGAGTGTCCATCCCTGTGCTCTGTGCCGTCACCGGCAGCACTGGGGGGTGACTCGAAGCAAGGTCACAGTCCCCGTGCCATCCCCCTGCGCCCGCGCTGGGTGCTGCAGGGAGCCGGGACTCTGCTGAGAGGGATATTTGTGCTTCCCCCTCCACAAGAACGCAGCTGCAGATCCCGATCTGTGCTTGCAGCGAGCCCCAGGCCCCCGGCCAAGGGGGAACGTGGCAGCGGCTTTGAGGAAGTACTGACTGTACCAGATGTGCGACTCCCTCCGCTCCAGATGTGCGGCCCCCGCCCACTCTGCCCCAGCGCCGGCGTCCTGCAAAGGGGAAGACGAGGCTCCAGATCGCTCCAAAAGCATCCCACAGACTAAACGCAGCCAAGTGCAAGGCCAGAGCCGTGTTTAGGCAGTTTAACCGCAGAGATGTGTCTTCCCAGAAATGACGATCGAGTCCGTTCTGCACGTGGGGAGCAAAACCAGATGGGAGATGGGGATGAGGACGGAGCAGCGGGAGGAGGCTGCGGGTCTGAGCCCCACACTGAATCAGATTTCAGACACGCGGGCTGGTTCTGAAAGGAACTGCTTTGATCCTGAAAGGACAGGCCGGGGGATGTGCCTGAGGACTGGAATACTGGGAGCGCTCTGGGAGCACTCTYGGAGCGCTGTGCCCTGGCTCCCTGCAGGCAGTGCCACTGTTTATCCCTGCAGAAATATCCGACAGGACCCGGATCAAACGGGATGAGCGGCGCTTGGCTCTGCAGCTCCTCTGGGTTCTGCTGTGTCCCATGAGCCGGGTGGCACAGAGCAGGGCTGTGAGATGCAGTGTGTACACGGTGGTGATGGGCCACCAGACAGCTGGCAGCATGGTCAGGTACCCCAAGCACGGAGGGACAGGGCAGCATCGCTCAGAGCTCAGGATTGCGTGCAAAGCTTGGGATCAAACCACAGCGGATACCCAACAGGATTTCCCAGTGTGAGGGGGAGTGGGCTGTGATGTGCTCACCCAAAAGCACCCAGTTAGCGGTGTGGGGTTTTTTTTGGTGGGAGGACATTGCAGAGATGTAACCWGAGGCTGCTGCTGCAGCTGGTGATGTGGTTTTGTTCCCTTGGGTTTCCCCGAGGGATGCTGCTGTGTGCTGCCAAGCACGCAGCCGCACTCCCGAATCTCTCACAGGAGCGCTGCAGAGGGGCTGTCAGTAAAAACCCAGCTCAAGATGCAAACCCAATATGAACCGCCATCCCTACGCTTAAAACGAATTTTCAGACTAGAATTTATTCTTGCTGCAAGTAGATCTCCCCTCCACGTATTTGGGTAATTTCTGGAGGCAG